ATCTCTCTGCTTCAATTCGTACGGCATCCAATTTCCTTGCTTCTGAATCATTCCCATGGCTTTGAGGCGTTTTGAAATGGCTTGTTGAGTCACTCCCAATGATCGTGCCAATTTTTCTTGATTTTGACACGTCTTTTCGTCTTGATCAAATAATGCCTCCAATTCTGCATCTTCGAAAATCTTCTCTCTTCACCGCTATGCCGATCTTCGACGTCAAAATCACCGTTCTTGAAGCGTTGAAACCACTCACGACACGTTCTTACACTACTAGCGGCCTCACCATTAGTATTTGGGAGCATTCGATGAGCCTCAGCTGCAGTTTTCTCCATATTGAAGCAGAAAATTAAAACCACCCGCAAATGACGAGAATTTGGCTCGACATTTGGAACTGACATTTTCAATCGAGAATAACTTTATGATGCAGACACGAATCGACTAATGTTTCTATGGGGTTATGTTGAGAGATGCCCAAGTTTATTTATGACGTCTATGACCTATTTATTCCGACCACCACTTACCGCTAAAGCCATCTATAGGAAAACGGCGGAAGCAAAATTGTACACCTAATATATGAGAATAAATGTATACTTTATCAACGAAGTTATTATTTATTCGCAAATTATCTCAAATTTACATGTAATACAGAATTATGTTAGAAAATTGCAGATGCATTCATAAGTAATTTGCGAATACAATCATATTCAAGAACGGTATAAAAGCACGATAAAAATAAAAATAACGAGAAAATAATTGAATCTTGAATTCCTGTTCGACTTAGGTGCTTCTCAACGTTTCAACTCGTTTAAAAAGCCAAGCCTTAGGACCTCTGACATTGTAATACCCGTGGCGTTTATTAATAACTGAACAATATTTTACCTAAATAACTTGAACTCCATACAAACGGCGCTATGTCTGAGTGATATAATTATTAATCCCGCAGCCATGCCGGCGAGTTGGAGTGGAAAAATGAATTATAATAAGTAAATGTAGCCTCTGAAACTTTCCCAAATTCAGAACGCTGTTATAAATTAACCAAATTTCTTGTTGTCTCGCTTGTATTATTTAACTTTATAAGAATTCAACTAAATGAACATTACGATAATAAATTCCTCCAGTCTCGTAGTTTCTGTACGGCCTGAAACTACGGAATTTATTTCTTATCGAATACCTGTTCTTGAGGGACGCTCATAACTCCTTTTATCTTATTTATGATTTCTTCTGCTTTATTTTGTGATGATATGGTGAAAAAAAACGGACATTTACGATCTCGTATTGCGACGAAAATATCTAACAGGGCACTCTCCACATTAAACTCTGCTTGAGATGCAGTAATGATATTTGCTTGCTTATACAAATTTGTGCGCATACAATTCTCATATGACACCCAAGCATTTTCAAAATAAAGCTGTTTATTTGAATTGCAGCATATTCAACAAACATTGTAGTATCCATTCCACTCACAATCTGTTTCTGGTCCTATCAATATAACTCTTAATTCCTTAATTACAATTCTAAAATTTCTATATTTACTGCAAAAATACATAAATAGCTCCCACGATGGTAAACCCGTTATATCTACTGAACTCACATCTATGATATGTACGATAAAGAGATATTTTGGTGTTTAGTAAACCTATTTCTATTTTATAAATTTCTGTTACATCAAGTAAATGTTCGAATTGCATTAACTCGTCATACAGTGTCAATGAAGCTGACATATTCCGAATAGATGTAAGGCATCTCAGACCAAGTTTCTAAATTTCGTTTTCTATATTTTTTAATGTATATTTTAGCAAATGTAAACATGTTATCAAAACCTATTTTCATTATGGGAAACTTCATTTTTTGTGAATATGACTTTATGTTAGTGTTGTTAATAATTGAAATATTCAAGTTCAACAATACCAGTAAGTCTGTGCACATAGATTTGTCTTTTTCTTGAAATTTTAAATAGTGTTTGTCACAATAATTGGCGGAATAGCAGATGTAGCAGGTTCGTAGGTTACTCTGTAGGTAACAAATGAGGCATAATTTTGCGCATATCATCATCTCTATCTCGTATGACTTTAGATCACGTGATATTTTCATTTGAATTCCTTGCATAAATATCTCTCGAGACGACCTCTATTCTTCATCTGCGTTAAAACGACGTGCTCTCGTCCCAATCTTCTATTCTTGCGTTTGCCAAAATGACACAGACTTCCACATGCGAACTTTTATGTATCATTTGCTGCTCATTGCCACAATAAAAGACCATGCCGTACAAATCACATATGATTAATTCGTCTTGGCTACTTGACTTCTTACAGACATGGCAGATGTTCGGTTTAAAAAATTGATTATAATTATATTCTGTGTATGATTTTCTAACTAAACGCAGACGTTTAGTTATATCGGATATAATATACTTATGCAATTGATAATTTGTACTAACTTTAAA